TTACATCTTAAAATTTTAGGGTGATTACAAGATAATATATGTTTTAAAGATTTTTTTATCATTTGACAATGAAAGTTCAAACACTCTTACAATCTCAAGTGCTTGAACCTTGGACCTCTAAGGACAACAATCATCCCTTTAATCATTGAGATGACTTGATTGGTGCAAATATTATTGTTTTATAAATTTGAGTATACTAAAATTTATTGAGAGCTTTGTGTTCTTAATGAACTATACCCACCTGGTGTTATTGATTTCATAGATATATCAATAGTTTAAGTAGTAAACATGTAAGCATTCTTAAAGTGTTTGCTAAGCTTTTTAAGGAAATAATGAATTGGTTATCACAATTTTCAGATACCTTGCAGTTCTAATAGGATATTGTAATGCAAATTGAGTATATATAAACAATGAGTAAACCCGTTTCATATAACACTTTAAACTCGATTCGTAATAACGATAAACTTAAAATACTACATTGAAATTTCCAAGCAATTCAAATTTCAAATCCTGTAAGTTTTTTTTTTATAAACAAACACTATTTTTAGCATTTAGGGTAAATAGTTTCATTCATGAACAAAATAAAGTATTTTATACAAAAATAGAAGCTCCAACACTTTTCCAAATCTCAATACAAAACAACCAAAAAGAGTTACTCTTTAAAGTGTGAAATATAAGTACTAAAAGATCAATATTGTACTCTAATTAGGTTGTGTTGAAAAATTTTAATTGACAGTGTTCCTTCGAGTTGAATTAGATCTACTAATTGATTCACGAAAACAAATTGAACGATGAGCTTTTTAAGATCAACAGTAAACATCCACTCTACTATAATTCATGTAAGCCATGAATATAAACATGCAGTCAAACATATACAAGATGTATGACATAAGCATCCATATAGAATAAGCTAAAGGTTCTCATTTTTATCTCATGGTCAATAGGTATTTCATTCCCCACTTTAGAGCAGCCAAATCATACATATAGATCATTTACTCAATCCACTCTACCGGAGTGTGCATATCAAGCAGCGCATGCCATACGCATAAATAACTATTCAACATAATTTCACACGTGCACTCTAACTATGGAGATGATGAAAATGATTTTACCTAATTCATTCTTTGATGATGATTTAAAATCTCAAAGCTTTCTCCATTGAAAAATCAAAGCTCTAAGTTTATGGAAAAATAGAGTATGGATAGGGGAGGAAGATAAAGGACGGGTATACATAGTCTTACCCTTACCTGATTGTCCCCCTAATCCTTATGTCTAGTCTACAAAATTAAAGGGGAGATCATATTTGATTTCCTCTAATGAAAAAATTACATTTGTAGTCCTTCCAAATTCCACCCACCACACCATTATCCCTTCATAATGCCAATTGGGCATGATTCCCACCAATTAGACCCAAATTTTATTTAACTAATTTCTCTCATAAATTAATAGATCAATCTACATCTGGGTGAAAAACAAAATATTGGCTCAAATTTGGGGGTCATTGCACTTCATGCATATTTTACTCACTATATTAAAGAGTCTGGGCTTATAGCTCGTCTTAGTCAGACATGAGGTCGAGTAGCTCAAAAATCTATTTATGTGGGTAAAACTTAGACCTATAATTGTGACAAAGACACAAATCCCTTGACCAAAAGGTTGAGTATGAAAATGGTTCATGATTCATTGATGGGATGAGTTTGAAGTCCAGTAGTTGAAAATTTCATGTGGATATCCAACCTAATCTTCTATGTACAACTGTAAGGTTGATACATTTGTTCTTAATGAATTCATATATCAAGATTTAGGTGGTCCCATTGAGATGAACTTGATGATTTCACCAAAATTAAATTTAAAAGGATGAGTTATTTATTTATTTGTAATTTGGTGTTCTGATTTTGTATTTGGGTTTGGTTTTGTATGTAAATAATAATAATAATAATTTATTTATAATAATAATAATACTAATAATATTAAAAATGGGTCGGGGTAAAAATATGGTGATTACAAAATTTAAAAGGATGAGTTATTAAATGCTGTTAACGAATTTATATCCTAAAATTTTAGTGGCCCTATTGAGATATTTGATAATTGATCAAATTTTGATTTGAAGATAAACTTATTAAATAGTCATAATGATTTCATAGCTCTGGTTTGGTTTGTCTGTAGTAAGATACACTTGATGAAATCACATATATGAGTGTGAAAGATTGATTTGTCACATTCCATAAAAGATATTGAATCATTTTTTAGAGCAATTACAATTATCACACGACCATTTTATAATTACATCAATTAAGGATAAATAGTTTGATTTTTACCGCAATGTAGTAAATCTAATTCATTTTTAAAAAAAGTCAACAACAATAATTTTCCAACATCATTTAATAATTAAAATGAAATTTTTTGCCCTTCCGGTTCTAAGATTTAGTTTTGATTATTCGGACCGACTCGCATTGTACACCTAATTTTGGTGGGTAAGTCTCCCAACAAGAATTTTCTGCATACACGAACTTAAGATTTTACTTAAACGATGTATATATATAATTATAAAATAACATTTTAATATATTTGGATGTGAAATGACAACAAACTGATCGACAGTTCTTAAACTAATTTATGGAATTGAAAGATAAATAATGGACCATGCTCCAGCTAAAAGAACACGTCCATTTTTCAACCAAACTAATGTTATTTAATTCGACCAAAAAATACAATCTACTAATTAGATCCCAAATTATAGAAAATCAACAACAACAATAACAAAACCCTATTCACATATGTAATGGGGTAAGGGGAGATAGGGTAGTAGGCTACTCCCAACGCCAGGTTGAGAGCAGCTTCCGTGATAGACTTCTGGCAGTCAAAAAACTAAAAAATAAAGGTAAAGTGCAATGCATGTATAAATAAATAAATAAAAACATAGTTGAATAGTCTTCATATGCGCGTCTGTAATGGGAAGTAATCCTTGCAAATAAATCTCTGCGTAAAAATATTTGCGTATAGACAGAAATGTAAGATCCGACTAAATTTAAAAATAGGAAACATGAAGAGAATGATACACAGAAGTCAACGATAGCAAGCTACGATAAAGAATAAAGTCAAATGGATTAAAACCTAAACTAAGGCAACACTACTCCGCTACCTTAGTTCTACGCCTTCATAAATTCCAATGACAGAAACGTATAAAAAGTAGAAGTCATGGAAATTACTACAAAGGCATTAAAAATATGCCAGAGATGTTACACCCTATGGTTGTGACCCGCACTACTCAACTACCATGGTCTTAAGTCTCCATACTTTTCTATCAGAGATCATGTCCTCGGTAATGGCTAAATCCTTCAAATCAGATCTCAAAGAGTCTTCCCACTTCCGCCTTGGTCATCCTCTCCTTCTGGCACCGTCGGCTGTAATCGACTCTACCCTCCTGACCGCATTTGATGGTTGTCACCTAAGGACATACCCAAACCACCTTAGTCTTCCCTCCCTCAATTTTTCGGATACAGACACCACCCCCAAGGACATCCTAATAGCAGAGTTTGATGTCATGTCCCACAGAGTCCTACCACATGCCCATCGAAGCATTTTTATTTCTGCGGCCTCCATCTTCCTTACGTGGTCATTCTAGATTGTCCAACATTCTGATCCATACAGCAATGCTGGTCTTATTGTCATTCTATAAAATTTTCCCTTAAGTTTTAGAGGCACCTTCTTGTCACACAAAACTCCAATAAGATCCCTCCAAATTATAGAAAATAGAATACATAAATAAATTTGAATAATGCATGCAACTACTACTAGCCTAGGATAAATAAAACACAGAGCCAATGGTTGGTCATACAACTAGAGAACACTTGATAAAGACAAAAAAACAATATATTATATTAAATTTGAAATTGAGATACGCTATCTCATGTATTTCAAATTCTTTTGTCATTAGGAATATAATGGGTGTTGGTTTGTGTGGAGAGCTTTTTGACCACTTTTCTGTCTGTCCGTGTTCCCCACGGTGGAGGAACCTTCGTTCCAGCTTCTAATTTTGCATGTGATTTTTGACTCATCACACACGTTTTTTACTCTTTGATATTGCGAATTACCATTTTCATTTCTGTCTGCCACACACTCGCTTGATTTATGCCACTTTTATTGGCATTCCAACTTGTAATGCTACAAATTTTAAACTCTTAATAAAATTTTCAGTGAAATCGATTTCTATAGTTTATTAATTTTATATTAACAAAATTCATTTTCTTTAATTTTGATTAATAAAATTATCTTTAATAAGAAATGTTGTCAACTTGTCAATCAAATAATGAATTTGGCTCAAGGGTTGATGCTTTTAAATTCTACCTTTACTAGGTTTAATTCCTTTTGTTCATACTTTGGTTAACTATTTTTCCTTCCATCAAACGATGGCATTGATCATCATAGTGATACGCGTTATCATATAGAATTAAATTTATTAAATTAAATAAAAAAATATGATCAATTTACTAAGATATGTACGTAAAGAGGATTGTATATAATTATTCAAATTTATTTAACTACCACATCAACATTTTCATTAGTTACCAATTGTATGAGGTGATATCGTTTAAATAGTAAAGTGATCCGATTGATAAAATTCATAGTTCCATGGTCAAAATTGAAATACCCTTATAGTTTAGTGACTATTTATACATTTTACCCAATAAAAAACTAGGGCAGCTATATTTTCACACGTGAGAGAACACAATGTAATACTTGGAAGCGCGTCCGTCTGGTAGAATCTGTATATATATATATAGCTCTTAGCAAATGGATTGGTTCGTCCAGTCAAGTCAACTGTCCAATTGGGAGAGAGAGAATCATTTGCATCAAACATCACATCTCAAATCTGAACCCCACTCCTTTCGTTTTCAACTCCAAATTCCTGACTTTTGAAGATTTTTGGAGCTCTCCGTTTAATATTTCGTATGTTTCAATATTCTTCCAAAAGAAAAATCAGGGTCTTAATTGTTTGCTAAGATTCTGTTGTTTTATTTGATCATACCAGGAAATCAAGTGAAAGACAGAAAAGAGAAGCTTTTTTAATGGAAATCCTTTCAAGCAAATGGATATCTGAACTGGTAAAACACTCTTCTTTCTGCCACTGTAGCAAAAAGAAAAAACAGTTATTTTTTTTCTTATGAAAGTTGTTTGGTTTGCAGGAAATGGAGGATCCCATTTTTTCCCCACAATTTCCTTTCGTCGACTATTCATTTGATGACACAAATTTCCAATCCTTTTCTTCTGAGAGCTATTCGTCTTATCAAAACATAGACCAGAAAATCTCTCAAAACGATGTTTCATGCAATATTATTGAAGGTCATCGTCAAGTGGAAGATGAGTTCAAAAGGCCAATGAAACAACCTAAGACTAAAAACTGGAACTTTTCCATCAATCAAAACATCCCACCAAAGGCTTCTTTTTCTTCTTCCCCATCTTCCCATATAATCTCCTTCAGCAACTCAGATTCACCTCCCGCTGTCTCTCAGCAACGCTACGGTCTAGACTGCGATGTGAAACCAAACAATTATTGTCCACCTAAATTTGAACAGGTTTCAAAAAGGGCGGCGTCATTGACTATGACTCCGTTAAATGCTCAAGATCATGTGATTGCCGAAAGAAAACGCCGCGAAAAGCTCAGCCAGAGGTTCATATCACTTTCAGCACTCATTCCTGGCCTGAAAAAGGTACTAAGTCTTTCGGTTTCATTATAGATTTATATTTTAGATCCAAATAAGACATTGGCTTACGATGATCATATGTGTTTATGCAGATGGATAAGGCTTCGGTTCTTGGAGATGCTATCAAGTACCTTAAACAGCTTCAAGAGAAAGTGAAAACACTGGAGGAACAAACTGCGAAGAAAGCAGTGGAATCAGTGATCTTCGTGAAGAAAACGCAAATTTATGCAGTTGATGAGACATCTTCATCTGAAGAGAACTTTGATAGCCAATCTAATAAGCCATTCCCTGAGATCGAAGCAAGAGTTTCAGACAAAGATGTGCTGATTAGAATCCACTGCGAGAAAAACAAAGGGTTCGTTTCGAACATTCTAAACGAAGTCGAAAAGCTTCATCTCTCTGTGCTCAATACCAATGTATTGTCTTTTGGACAAGCAACTCTTGACATAACCATTGTTGCTCAGGTATTGCTTTTGGAAAGTAGGTACTAATATACAATTTACAGGTTAAAACCCTTGACTTAAACCTTGAATATTCCATGGTTATTAACTTATTATTGTCATCTGCAGATGGAAACTGAGTTTTCGATGACAATGAAGGATCTCGTAAAATGCCTACGACAGACTTTGCTTAAGTTCATGTGATATGAACAACTGAAAACCCATGTTGACATTGACAAAACAAGATTGGCACTAGGAATAAGGTCTACACACAGAGCTCTTTTTACATGTTTTTTGGATCAGTGATGATTTTCCATAATTTATCTTAGTTGGTGTTTTTCCTCAAACCTTAAAGAGAGAAACAGTAGCCAGTGACCTGCCATTATCAATAGCTCGGAGGATCAAGATTTTGGAGCAAAGGAGGGTTTCCATGTGTTTAGTTACTATTTTTTTCGTGGTGTTGACCACGTTTAATTTTTCCCTACTTGGCTTGTCTGTATTTGGATTTTCCACAGCTATTTAGCTTCAAGAGGTTTTTGACCTAAAGTTATGTAAATGACCCCTCTTTCCCCTTGTTTTTTCTCCATTAAAAGTTGGAGATTTACTGGCAGATTTTCTTTCTTAGGTTTGATTAAAGTTTCCAGGAACCTTTAATCATTGAATTGTTATGTAGACTCTCCTTGTAATATTGCACATGTCTGGAAATAAGTCATTAATTTTCAACTATATATGAACAGGAGAAAAACACACACACACACATATATATTTATATATAATTTTATTCATATTTTCATTTCAAAAAAAAATGAGAGTGAAGTATGTAATTAGTCCCCTCAAAAGATTGTAATCTGGCTTAGTTTCTTCCTCCTTGACTTTTGGCTCAATCTTTGTCTCTATTACTCCATCTCTTTCACATAGTTTATAAAAAAAGAAATGAATTGTTGGTGATCTGTCAGTCTTCTTCTCTCTTGTGTTTCCATTGATTCAAACTCTAATATTAGTTGGATTCATACGGAAACCAACCAACCATCCCATGTTTTTGCAGTTTCTGAGGTTTAGAAAGTTAAATGTCAATGCATGCAACATTTGCTAATTTTTCATGTAACTTGAAACCCAATTAAACCCACCCTTGTTATATCATCTTATCGATTAATCAAGTCCATAGTTACGAGGTTGGTGATTAATTAAGCAACAGTTTATAAATAATGCACGGTGCACGGTGCACGGTGCACTGTGTTCGTATTATTTAGATTCTGATATATAAACGAATTGCAGTGTTTTTCACTTTTACTCGTGTAAAAAAACCCTTCACATGTGACTAAATAATGCTATTTTCCTTATTAGTTTCGATGATAATAATATAATATATATTTAAAATATACCTTACAGATGTAGTTATTCGACTTCAAAACTTCTAGAAAAAATAATACTCCATTATCTCACTGAAATTATTTGATAGTACCTAAAGAGGTGAAGAAAACTCTAGGAGAAGAGAGAGAAATGCTCCTAATGGATATAGAATTCACGATCTAAAGGAATATAATGGAACAAAGATGAGTAGTTTCACTAACCGATCAAACCGACCGAATGTGATTGCTCAGCTATTAAACATTCATTAATGTACTAAATAAAATTAATGGTTGATTAGTATAGTTTTGAAATGAAAATGTCACTATCAAGTAAGTTAACATGTATGTGTCGTAACCGTTTCCCGGCGGGACAATCGTTTAATTGTTTTAAAAATAGTTACGACTTTAATTTTTAAAAATGAGGTGATTTGGAATTAATTTGGATAAAATTGAACAGAGTCGCCATCGACCTTTTGGGTTAGGTAAGTCGAATACCTAAAAATGTCTTTTAAAAACAATTTTAAGAAAAACTGTTTTTAAGACAAAAGTTGGTCTGCATTTACCAAAGATTCGATTAAAACGGGTTCGGGAGTCGGTTACGCGTGGGGAAGGATTAGCACCCCCACAGCGCCCAAAATTGGTACTGTTTCGCTTACACGTTGTCGTAATGGTGAAAATCCTGAATCAAATATCAAGTTAAAATATGATACATTTATTAAATATTGATTAACTTATTTCAAATTAATTAATTTAAAAAAATCATTTTACTCGAATAAAAAAACTTGAAAACATGAACTTAAAGGATTAAAATAACATAAACGAAAATTTAAGGGATTAAATAGTAAAAACATACATTTAAATGACAAAAATAGAAAAAAATAAAAATTCGTAGAATAGAACCACAAATATAAATAAAAGAGTTTCTATCATGTAATCTAATATATCAAACCAACCCCCACTTATTTTCAATAATTGCATCCGTTCTTCTTTATAATGTTTAATTAATTATTTATTTATATTATATGATTTTAAAGTCAAAATTGAAAGACAATGGCATGTGAACTGTCGCCAAGCATGGTTTCCAACTTTCAAATATCATCAAAATTAACATTATTTTATTCATACTTTTTTTTCTTACTTTTATAATATTCTAATATTATAAACTAATAAAATAATTATTAAAGCTTATGGATAGCATAAACTATATACTTCGTTTATAATTTTCTTTTGAAATTGATATCAATTAATCTATTGCAAATTTCTTAAATCAAAACATTAAATAATAACTATACTAAAAGTAAAATAATCCAAAAATAAAATCCCTTAGAATAAAATAAACAAAAAAATTACAATGATTAAATAATAATTAAACCTAATGCTAGATATTGACTAAAATGAATTATTTACTAATATGGTATCTAAATTCGAATATTAATAAAAATTATAAATAAAGAAATTAGGACTAAAAAGAAACATGCAGAATATAGAATCCTAATGTCTAAACAACAAAAATTAAATAAATTAATATTTAGACTAAAATTAAATGAACATAAAATAAAAAGATAAAATTGTAAACTCTCAAACTATTAATTAGGGACTAAAATGATGAAATTAAAACATACAGCTTAATTAAGATTTATCCTTAAATACAAAATAATGACTAAAAATACAAGTTTCATAAACCAAAAGAATAATTTATAAATATACGAAATCCATGTAGTATATTCAAGTGATCAAAATATAATATTTACAAATGTGACACATGGAATATAATAAAAATAAAATATAATAGGTAACCATATCAAAAATGTACAAAACAAGGAAGCCGTTTAAGTATAATTAATTCACAATAAAATTACAAACAAGTCCCTTGTTAAACTACGTCGTTTTAACAATTGTATATAACTCTAAAACAAAGCCAAAATTTGGCTAAACACTTCATTTTACTCAGTTTCAAACTAAGAAAGGAGAGAATTTCAAATTCTCTCCACTTATTCATCGGAGATGAGAGGAACACCCGCCGTCGACGGCGACGTACGGCAGACTTACAGTGGTCAGAGGGACCAAATGGTCCCAAAAAGCTTCCTCTCGCTCCCTACTTCCCGATTATCCCCTTAATTCGGCCTATAAACAACCCTACAAGTCTAGATCTAGAATAATACCTTTCGAAAAACACCACTCCGACGACGTTTTGATGCTTCTCCAATCAAGGTAAGGGTTCTATCCCTCTCACTTTGTTTTTTTTTCTCCTTTTTTTCCCTCCTTGATGTTCATATGGTTCTCCTTTTATGGTTTCCATCCTCACCGAATCCCCTTGTTCCTTTCCTTTTTTTTCTTACGTTTTGGTAAGATGTTGATGGGTTAGGTGAGATTTGTTGGATTTGCTGACTTTGGTGATGGTTTAGGTAGAATGTAGTTGCGTGGGTCTATAACTTCCACTAACAATTTTTTTTAGCCTTCCATCATGCAGATAAATCCAATTGAGGATGGTGCCCATATCCTTGAATCTTGTCACTACTAGTATGGTGCACGTGATACGGCTTGTTGGTGAACATGTCGTGAAACTGCTGGGGGTGATGTCTCGGATCTGTATGTGGCATGCATCAAAATATTAATTAAATAATAATAATAATAATAATAATAATAATAATAATATTTATAATATTTTTTAACCCTGACAAAAAAATGGGTGTCTACAGCTGCCCCTCTTTGCACATTCTTGTGTTAACAAGAATAGGGCAAAGACGAAAAAGACAACCAGTTTTTTGTTTCATTCTTCCTTCGTCATTGAATTGAACAAGTTCTTCTCATTATGAACTTCTTCTTTCTCGTGGATGAGTTCTTCTCATTATGAACTCTTCACTGAAAATGTTGAGTCATCTATTTCTGGTGGACTTGAAAGGAACAAGTTCTTTTCATTATGGACTTTCTCCTTTAAGACGAGTTATTCTCATTATGAACTCTTTTGGAAATGTCAATCCCTCTAACGAGGCGTCACTGATTCGAAATGTCGTGAATCGAGTGATAGATCGAACAAGCTCTTCTCATTATGAACTTATTCTCTCTCTTTCGGATGAGTTCTTCTCATTATGAACTCTCCATTGAAAATGTTGATGCGAAGTTGAACAAGTTCTTCTCATTATGAACTTCTTCTTCCTCTGTCGGATGAGTTCTTCTCATTATGAGCTCTTCACTGTAAATGTTGATCCCTCAAGCGAGGTGTCACTGATTCGAAATGTTATGAATCGAGTGATAGGTCGAACAAGCTCTTCTCATTATGAACTTCTTCTCCCTCTGTCGGATGAGTTCTTCTCATTATGAACTCTCCATTGGAAATACTGGTTCACCTCCTTTTGCGATGAATCTTAATTGTTATTGACTTTCTCTGAATTTCTGTCAAAACATTCAAAGCATTTCAATGAATATGAATGAATGAGCATGCTCCTATTCATAGATGCTTACTGATGTATGCATGATGTTATTTTAATATTATGAACTTTGTGGTCCTGCAAATCTTCATTTTAAATGTATCATTTGTCCTTTCGTTTGCATTCCACATTTTGCTTGGGCTATTTTATGCAAATTCTCATTTCTCTTGTTCCCATGCAAATCCTTTATGTTCTTTTTTAACTGCTCATCTTTATCAGCGTACCAAAATATCAGTGTTTTCAATGTGCTTTCTTTTCTCAACTCATATGCATTTTCTTTGGCCATGTCTTACCCTAATCTTTTCGATCATTAGGGTTAGAATCTCTGCTATGGAAGTATTTATTCAGAGTAATACCAAAAATCTTTTTATTTTTTAATGCCATGTCAATCTACTTATAAGAAGAATTAATAAAATTGGAACTTGAAATAACAAACTTCGAATTTACTGACAAGAAATTGAATTTAAAAAGTTATGGCAATCACATGAATAATGGAAATTTAAAACCATAAGTCAAATGTCCTTATGGATCATTAGCACGAATGTTCCTGAATAAATCCACTTGATATAACTATTGAGTTGAGCTTCTGTCTGGAGGACTTCGAGAATTGCCAAAATGTCTATAGATGTGAAGCTTCTCTCAAAATATCAGACCCTCAAGAAGATTTAGTTGTCTGATGCCTAATCTCAAAATGCTTTTGAGCCGCCTTTTCAGGTTTTCAACTCAAAGTCTTCCTTTGGTTTCAAAATGTCCTTTG